CTCAAAAATGCAGCCTAGGTGGAGTAGTCGAACACAGATCCACTGATCCTTCAACACAGAGCATCTTCAGAAGACAAGTTGATAAAGTAAATTTTAAAAATMTGWATTGTTTGATACAAGTGTGTATTGAACCTAAAGCACTGTTCGATACGGTTCGATACAGGTACATGCATTGTTGCACCCCTAAAAATTATGCACAATAAACAAACCCATAAAAAACAGCAACAACAACAACAATACGATAAAAACTATCATTAAAAAATGTAATGATCAGGAAAGATACAGTTTAAGGAATACAGTTAAAAAGATGTGTCTTAAGCCTGCTCTTAAAAATAGCAACACTCTCTGCAGCCCTCACATTTTCAGGCAGACCGTTCCACAGACGAGGGCCATAGTACTGAAAAGAAGCTGCCTATTTGTCCACAACTTTGGGACTTAATCCTCAGTTGGATGTGATGGGTCACATTATATTCTTATTGAAGCACAGTGTTGCCAAACGAACAGTTGTTTGGATGCAGGTTGACTGTAATAAACGGCTTCACCTTCATTACTCCACATTTTCAGATTGGCCTACAGTTAAAGACGGACTTCAGGGTACGAGCCACATTCACAACACAATTCTCTCTTCCTTAAATCAAACCCAGTTCTTTATTTTACCCACAGCTTATCAGAAACAACTGCTCAGTGTCCAGGCATACCTCAACACATGAAAAGACTGAGATCAACCATCTCCATCTCCTAAACACAACCACCTGATTTGTTCTGAATCAAAAAACATGCTTGGCAAGTTCTGTGAGAAAAGGCAGATGATCGCATTTAAAAAAATCTTTACATAAGGATTTTATTAACCACACTGCAGCGACCATTCCATACATGACAATTATTTTTGAGTTTTGAAGGCTCATGTGGATAATTTTGAAATGCTTCTGAATACAGTTTGGCTGCACTTATCAGTAACAGTCAAGATGGCCAAACACATGAAGAAAAGTGGTTTAGATTTATATACTCATTATGAGTGTTTGCTTTGTTGCCACAGATGGCATACCGTATTCCAAAGTTTGTTTTAAAACCAGACGTTTCATTTTAAAATCATCCAGCTGATCTTAGAAGAATCTACGTTGACATTATGTTGGCAAAACTTCCTTTGTCTTTAATTCAATCAGCTCTGCTCACGTTTTTTTTTTTTTTTCACAGCTGGTGAAGGAACAAATCAAATGAGGTAGGATTTTAAGATTAGATTTCATCTGGGAGATTTATTGAGACGGACACAGATTTCTAGTAACTACTGGTTGCTCCAAAAAGAAGACTAAAATAATGCATACTTAAGGAAGACATTTTTAATTAAGTCATTCTGTATTTAAATGGAAACTTTCAACATTTTTCTCTGTTTCTGTGTCTGCCATATGAACCAAAGTGATTTAGAATACCGTAATTTAATATTAAATTGACCAAAATTAGATACAGCTTAATCCCGACCTTTACTGACTGCTGGATCAAAAGAAGAAGAAAAAAAATACTTTATTTCCTCTTAAGTAAATAAATGCAATGCAGTAATTCTATTTAAAGGATGTATAATAGTATAGTCTAAGGAAATACATCAAAGWCTTTCCTTCACAGAGATTTTATTTGCATATGTAGTTTCCAAGAGTCTGGCAGCACTTAGGAAACACATTTAAGTATATTTTATTAACTCTGGCTGAAACTTCATTTCATACATATTTGCTGTAAAGCAGTGGGTTCGTATCCTTAATATATATGATCTTATTTCATTTATGGCAAAAACGTCAAAATACAAGAAAACCTTTAAACCAAAATCAGACAATAAATGTTCTAATTCAAAAAAAAATAATAATTGTAATAATGTGGAATTAGAACAAACAATCATTGAAATAGTAATTATTTTGTTAACCAAAAACGTAAAGAGAAGCGTTTCCCTTGTTTTGGCTATTGGAACAGGCAGAATTAACATGTTTATTTGTGTAGAAAATTATTGGATAAATGGGGTTCAGCTTTGCTCGCTGCATGATGGAGTCAAGGGGTGAAAGTAGACTCAGAATTTACCATCTTTTAAAAAATTTCTTGGGTAATTCATGTCCTAAAAAATATTGAATTTGATATTTATTAGCTCTRAAGATTTACAAGCAATCTTTTTTTATGGAGATGGAAAAACTGTCATAAAACCACATCTGTTCCCATAATGTCAATAAATTATTCTTTATGCTTATTTTGTGAAGATGACTTAATATCGTAGATGTTACATGTTCAGAGCAAATGAAAAATTAGGTGATGTATTTTCTACAGCCTATGCAAATCTCACTTGTATAAGCTGTTTTATCACATCAAGGAGTTCCTCATCAAACTCATCCTCAAACCCTGACCCAAGGTTTGCTGAGATCTAAAAGAATTAGCTTGCAGTAATGCCTTATGAAACCTGGAAGTCACTTTGAAATTCATACCAACTGAGCACAGGCCAAATGGTTTTCAGCAAGTACATTTTAAATATTAACCGTATTTATTCCAACCTCTCCAAACTCCTCTATGAAACAACAGCAGGTCCCATACTGAGAGGGTTACTGTCACCACGATCTGGAACAAATAAATAAAAAAAAATGTTTCTCTTATAAAAAACATATGGATTTCAGCACTTCACATCCAAACTCACCGTGCTTCACATATTTTCTTTTTTAGCTTTGAAAACTGTTTTTTAGTTACAACTACACATTCTGAAAAGAGCGGGACAGTTTTTTTTCTTTTTTTTTTAAAGAGAATTTAATAACAGAAAATCAGATAATCAACACGGACGACAAAAACTTGAGTCATCAAGTGCAAAACAAAACATACTTCAGTTATACAGAAAACAAAACTAAAAATCGCTCACTTAATGAAAAATGTGTGTGCAAATTTTATTTGCGGTAAAAAGGCAAGAAGTTGCTGCCTTAGTAATTAGTTCACATTCTCGTTAAAACCGCATTTACATTACAAAAACTAATTAAAAAAACAATGTGCTTTCAGAGACTGTAAAGTCACTGTGATGCATGGTTTTATTTAAGGTTGTGAAGGATGGATCTGAGGTTGAGGTGGAGGAATATGTGTCCCGGGTCGGTTTTGTGATGAAGTTCTTGTAGCTGGAGGTGGAGGAATGAGCGTTCAAACAGGGTACGGTTTTTCCTGAACAAAATAAATAAATAAATAAAGTAAAATAAAATAAAATACAGTATAAAAAATCTGTCAGAAAAAAATAGTAGTCAAGTGTCAATCATAGCTTGCATTCGCACCCCACAACTCCATAAACATAGCCAACATGTTTATGGCTGGGCACAAAACAAGTCAGTAGACGTTTGTGGAACTGGAGAATCTGAGATACATAAAACATTCTTAACACCTTTATATAATTTATAAGTCGGCAAAGACATTCTGAGTTTGACACAAATCACTCAAAACACAACAACCCCCCGACTAGTACTGTGTAAGCCTTGTGGCCATCGGAGAAACCACAATACTTGTTTTCCTTTTACCGTCTAGCTAATCCTTTCAAACGTTTAAACTGTAATGTGGGGTTTTCCAGGATCAGACTTGTTTTTCCAGCACATCCAAGAGATATACATGTATAACCTTCAAAACGTGTTGTGTTTCCTAAACAGATTTCAAATCATTTATACAGTATGGCAGGGCACATTATCCTGTAAAAAATTCCACCCGTGAATACATTTTATTCGACAGGTTTTACTCAGTCAGCAGAATGTTTAGTTATGTGGGTTTCCTTGTAAAGCATTGGCCTTGCCAGCTTTCCTGCTTCCTGTAGTTCATATCGTCCCCAAACTGACTGAGCAGTTCACAGGATGCAAAAAGAAAACAGTTCATTAGACCAGGCAGAGCTTTCCCTTGTCCCATGGTACACTTCTTATACTTGCATGTACTTGTTGATACGTGATAGGACAGATATCTATAGGCAACATCAATTATTTGAGGCTACGCAATGCACCCTATGTTTTGAAACTATTCCAACTGTATCAGGATTAAACCTTTAAGATATCGCTGCTGTTGGATTGGACAACTATGCCTACCCATGTAGTATTAATGAGCCTTGGTTGCCACTGACTAATTTTGTTTTCCTTCCTTCACCCACTTGTGGTAGGTCCACACCTCTGCACATCAGTTGTTGAGATGCTGTGATTTGAGCTTTCAGCTTTCATTAATAAATTAACTTGTTTTTTTAATTCTAAAACATCAAATTCAAGTGCAGAATGTAAATCTTAATGTGCATAAGCCTCTGCCCAATTGARCCATTTATTGTCATAATGTTGTGACAGATAGCTGTAAAGTTGCACGTCTAAGCATGCAGGAAGATTTTTTTTTTCATTGTTGAGTATGAGATTATCACTGTGGAAATTACTGTTTTCACCTGATGCCGGAGAGCTTCTGCAGAAGGACGRAAAGCTTCTCAAGTGAAGGCAGCTCCATGCGAGGGTTTTTAAGGAGCTGAGAAGCAGTTGTGAAAAACTCCTCACAGCTACATGCCTCTAGAAATGGATTTAGGTAGCCTACAAGCAGAGCAAAGACAGGACACTTTGATTAAACTCATTTGCTTCACGCATCCTTTTCCAGAGCTCAGCTTCAAACCGAACCATTAGATTCGTTTTTTTTTTTGCCATCCTTTTTAGATTTTCTCAGGAATGAAAACTGCTTGGACACACAAACAAACCATGAAAACACTAATGATCAAACTGAGCTGAGACAGGGCCACAGATGCTGGTCAGAGTGGTTCTGCGATGAGTGGATTTTGGAAGTGGTTCCATACTGTCACTTTTAACTCTGACCTTCCTATCATCAAAGCACAAACTCAAACACTCGCACACACAGGGAGATAAAACGGAGAGGACAACATCATCATTCCACACAGATGGTAGCTGCACATTTTTTAAATTAATAACAGCAAAAGTTGACCTCATGAAGTCTTTAAATGAAAGTTGGTTACTAGAAAATAAACATTTGTTTCTGCTAAAGTCACATTCTTTTTTTCTTCTTCTTCTCAGATAGCAATCTCTGTTTTAAACCAGGCATGAGAGGGATAAAGTTTGAACACAGGGGACTTGCCACTTCGCTGCCATCCAATTGCTGGAGAAGACTGATAAAAACCAACTGGGTTATGTTAGAAACTCGGTGATGCAGCATTCAGTGTCAGCTAAACTATGCATCTGTGGTCGACAAAAAAATAAAATAAAATATTCAGTTTTGTTTGATGGAGCCATCAAATCAGATCAGGCCCAAATCATACATCTTCACTTCAACATTGTTGACTGGCTGGAGGATTAGCCTATGTCTTCTTGAAGGTTTAAGATTCAAGAGTTTTATTGTCATATGCCCAGCATAAAAGCAGTTACACTGTGCAATGAAATTCTTACTTCGCAGTTCCTCTATTTACCAACAGTCGGAGATATTATAAATAAAGTACAATACAATACAAGGGTAGGGTGGACAGAATAATACAGTTTTTTACATTATTTTTGGACAGTAGCAGCTGAATTTTTAGTGCAATAAGACACTGTATACAGAATTATAGACCAGTTTTTATAKACCAGTATTTGGGCAGTAGCAGCAGAATTTGTAGTGCAAAACAGACACTGTGTATGGGTAAGCATCAAACGTGATACAGACCAGACAAAATAGACACTAGTGTTATACAGTTATTGTATAAACCAGTGTTATACAGTAATTAACAATAATGTAGACCAGTAGCCACAGAATGTGTGGTGGGCTCATATTACGGGTACACGTTAGGGTTCAGACAGTTTCAGAGTGAACGGGGGTTTGAGGTGTTTACAAACCTGATGGTTTATGAATAAAAACTGTCTGTCAGCCTGGTTGTCCTTGACTTCACACTCCTGTAGCGTCAGCCTGACGTCAGGGGCATGAAGATGTTGTGTTGGGGGTGAGTTCTGTCCTTGATGATGCTGTGGGCCTTTCTGATGACCCTGGTCCTGTAGATGTTCTGCAGTGAGGAGAAGATTGCTCCGGAGATGGACTAAGCAGACTTAATCACACGCTGGAGAGCCTTCCTCTCCTGAGTGGTAYAGTTTTCATACCACACYGTAATGGAACTGGTGAGGATGCTCTCAATTGTACTCCAATAGAAGTTGTTGAGAATTTTGGTCGACATGCCAAACTTCCTCAGCCTTCTCAGAAAGTACAGCCACTTCTGGGACTTMCGGACGATGTGGTTGGTGTTGTGTGATCAGGTGAGATCCTCGCTGATGTGCATGCCAAGGAATTTGAAGGTTTCCACCCTCTCCACCTCTATCTCACCAATAAGCAGTGGTGTGTGGAAATCCTGCCTCTTCCTTCTTGGATCAACAATCATTTCCTTGGTCTTGTCTATATTTAAGGAAAGGTTGTTGCGATCACACCATTTCACCAGCTCAGCCAACTCCTTCCTGTACGCTGTCTCGTCCCCACGATGATCAGTCCGATGACTGTAGTGTCATCGGCAAACTTGATGATGCTGTTGTTGCTGTGTGAGGCCATGCAGTCGGATGTGTAGAGTGTATATAGCAGGGGGCTCAGCACACAGCCCTGGGGTGTCCCAGTGCTGACAGTTCTTGTGCAGGATGTGCGGCTGCCAATCTTGGCTGACTGGGGTCTGTCCGTCAAGAAGTTCAGCACCCAATTGCAAAGCGTTGGTTTCAGTCCAAGGGTGAGGAGCTTTCCTGCCAGTTTGGTTGAGATAACCGTGTTGAATGCCGAGCTACAGTCGATAAACAGCATTCTCACGTAGGTGTCCTTTCACGCCAGGTGTGTGAGGGCTGTGTGGATGGCAGTGTTGACTGTGTCGTCAGTGGATTGGTTCTGACGATACACAAACTGTAGAGGATCTAGAGTGTCGGGGATGGCTTCCTGGATGTGAACCATGACAATCCTCTCAAAAACCTTCATCACTATTGGAGTGAGTGCAACAGGCTGATAATCATTCAGGCAGATCACGACACTTTTCTTCGGGAGGGGGATGATGGTTGTCTTAAAGCATGAACTGCGAGGGACAGATTGAATATGTCCAGCCAGCGAGTTCTGAAGAGCAAACCTTGAGTGCACGCCTGGGTTTGTTGTCTGGGCCAGCTGCTTTCCGTGGATTTATTTTCTTCAGCACCTTGCACACCTGCACTGATGTCACCGTGAGCGATGAGTTCTGTGTACTCTCCATGTCCATATCCTCCCTCTGTTTGTCGGGGTTGAGGGAATCAAATGGAGCATAGAACTTGTTTAGCTCATCTGCTAGTGTAGTGCGGCTCGTTGTGACCTCTTTGCTTCTCTGTTGGTAGTTTGTGATGTGACTCAGTCCTTGCCACACACGCCGGGGGTCCGCAAAGGACCTTAAGTTGCACGCAGCAACGTAGACATTTTACAGTTTACTTCCACTGTCAATGGATTTCAGCCATTTTCTTTTAAATCGGATATTTGCTGGATTTTATATGTGCTACATTCTCCTGATCAGATGCACACACACAAAGTAAATCAAGCACATATTTTCCAAGTTTGACAAGCTAACAAAATAGGATGTGGTGGAGATGAAAAATAATAATAATAAAAAAGAAAGTTGCATTTGATTTAGTCAGGGAGGTCTGCAACAAAATCAAAACAAACCAAATACTTTTCCGCAGTTGCAAAGTTGAAAGAATGCAAACACACACAATGAAGCATTTTCACAATTAATGTGCACTGTTTACCAAGAATACAGAAAAGCCCATGAGACACTTTTTGGCATGTTGGGTTCCTGATTTTTTATCTTTTTTTTTTGCTAAGTCTGAATTTTGCATGCAMAAGACATGTTGTGCAACTATTTTGTGACTTGACATAATAAAAGTACTCAGGCTGTGGTAGTTTAAGCTCCAACGTCCTATGTATGGATTTTTTGTACAAGTAAGCTTTGTTTTATTAGGTAACCTTTAGGTGTGAACATTTACTCCTCTGTTACTCAACTCTTTTCCATCTCACCTCATTACTACTTTAAAAGAAAACAATAATTAGCACGTGCTGCTTAAAGTTCCCAGTAAAGACGCAGCTCAGGCCTCAGCCCCTTCTGCCATATGGTTCTGTTTTGCATTAACATAYAACAGTTAAAATGATACGGTGATTAAACTCAAAGAGCTCCCACCAGTCGCATGGAAACACTACAGCTGTTGTCTCAGCCTTGTCCACTTTTTGTCTTTTCACAGAACAGCCAGATAAAGGTAGAAGTTCAAGGTTTTAGGACAGTGATTTTTTTTTAAATCCCATGGCCTGACCAGTCCGTATGACTGATGTGAGCTCAAACAAACCATCATTATTCACATGTGGTTTTCATGTGGGAATGACATGGAGTGGAACAGCGAGGGGCTGTTATCAATCAAAGTAAATAGTGATAGTCAGGACAGTCTATAAATCTGGCTTTTAAAAAGTGAACACAGCCATTATATCCATCCCAAGCAGAGTGAATCATGCCATGCAGCGGCCAGGTTACATCTGTCGCAAACTAATGTGGCAACAATATTATTTCGACATTTTTTTTTTGGAATAGGATGAAAACAGTGTTAAAGAAATATAAAGCCACTTTCAGTGGCGTCCTGCTATCCATTAAAGTGAGGATAACGCAATGTGACTGTGAATTACCCCCCGATGTGTTTTTGTAATATTTCGTGATGGAAAAATAGGCAAATGCCCAAACTGTGAAAGTGACTGAATTTGTAAACTGACTGCTTCTTTTTTAGCTGTTAAATAGATTTATTGTGTACTTGGTGTCTTTAGGAGTGCAGAATTATTGAATTTAGTCTCTCCTGGTGCTGCGTAGATATCTTTACATTCTTTTKGGGTCATATTTTGCAACTAATTTAATTTAATCTATTTTGTATGACATTTTCTGAACTATTATGTCACAAAACTTGCAACATATTTTCTAAATAAAAAGGTCTGGACTTAATAATTACAATTTCGTTGTCTTCAATCTCCTCTGGCTCCAACGTGTAAGGCTGGATGGACAAGTCTTCTGTTGTTGACATATTTGAATTCATTTGTAAATAAAAAAAAGTTTTGGTGTTGCTATAAAGTTGTAAACCCCTCAAGCTATCGTTGTACCATCAAGGTACAATGGACCGCTGTGGAAGCTGGAGGGGAGCGGGGGGTGAAGTGCCTCGTTTGGCTATAAAGAAAGTCTCAAATTGAGTTACACACCTCAGACCAAGGGTGAAAGAGGGGCTTGTGGAGTTACAATAAGGAGAAATTCAGACCAAAGCATTGCAGTTCCACTTTATATAGACCCCAACTGAACGATTAAATGTTAAAGAGAAGGATTTGTCTTTTTTAAAGGAAGTCATGAGAACATGTTAAATAGAAAGTAAGCCTTTCAAACATTTCTTCTTTTATTGTTTTACCTATCATAAATAACAGCCACAACTTGACATTTTTATCACAGCAATTGAGTCAAAGAAAAGAAAAACTGTCTTTAATAGATTCTGAACTGCAGCTAAATGTCTCTTTTCTGTTCATCTAGACATCAAAACTATCCACTGCCGTTTCTGTTTTTCACAATATTGTGTGTTTGCTAGGGTGATTTGAAATTTTATATTTTACTCTCGTAAGACTAGCAGAGCTACGGTCTTGTCTAACAAACAGTGGTGACATTGAGCTGTCGGTATGCTTGAGTGTAATAACRTATCATGTCTTTCTCAGCTGCATTACAGAAATGCCATTTAATCCTGACCCCAGGCTGAGAAATGAAAAGACTTACTCCTCTTGACATAATATGATCGCAGTTTATAAAGCAAATGCTGCGAAGAAAATGATACGCTTTTCATAAAGTGCAGTGACAGCCYGTGGGTGGAGAGATAGAAAAACAGAGCAGCAATGAGTCCACAGACAACATTTAAGGGTAGGAATCAACTGATACAAAAGACAAAACAYATGAAAAAAATAAATGTAAATGTGTTGAACTGGAAAAAGAAATATGAACTCGTGCATSAATCAAAACTGTAAAAGATAGTGTTTTATTTTGAGCTGCTGTGAATACATTTAAGCATTCACTTGTTTCTGTCTGAATGTCAGAACGCTGTTTTCATAAACCTCTTAAGTTTTGTTTAAGAAACCCTTAACAAATAATGTAGCTCTCATTTCTCTTGCTGGAAATACACATAAAWGCAGTAGCTGAAGACTCATTTTTCCACTTCTGTGGATTAAGTGTTTGGCCAAAGCCCTTCACTACTGATACAATTTTTCATCCACTCAGAGTTGGTTCATCAGAGAGTTTTTAACGCTGCGTGTTTTCTTTGGCACCATTCTGTCACATCTTGAAGAAGATCATAAAAGAGCACACTTGTAGACAACACATCATTCATCTCACAGACTGCCGTACTAGATTGAATGCTGCTGAACTGGTAATCACAAATATTTCAAGTGTAAACAGAAGAGCCAGAAACACAACAGACTCTCATTGTGAGCCTTGGGTTGCGTGGGTTGAAAGCCAAACAGTCTTAATGATGCATGCGTGTATTAAAAAACACTCTTACTTACGAGACTGCTCGGTAAGCTGCATCAGGATCTCTATGGGGGCGCGAAGGCCGACCCGGCTGGACCGAAGCACCGAAAGCAGCACATGTACTCCTCCATACTGAATGTAGAGGCCTCGATTCTCCTCACATTTAAGTTCAGTACAAAGACTGTCAACTGCCTGGGTCAACACATCAGCTGTCAGAATGGAAGAAATGTAGATATAGTCAACTCAGAGTTCCTACAGTTTAAGGAAAGTTAAATTTAAGACTTTTTAATACCAAGTGAAATTAAATTTAAGACCTATTTCATAATAAACCCAAATGACAAAAATAAAAACTGTGGCAGAAACTCATGAATCCAAGTATTTTTGGTTGAAGTATTCAAATAGATCAATAGTTTTTGCAATTTTTTTGTTGCAGAAATATTCTTAACAGTCAGTTTTAAATTTAAGTTAATTTCTGGAAATCCTCTAACAACCCAAAATTTTGAGTTTTAGGACCCACAGTGGGTTCTTAACCCCAATATACTATAGATGAAACCTTAAAGAGCCTGTGACATCAATTTTTTTGTAAGAAAAGTGAATACATTTTTGGAAAGACAACATTATTAACATATTACAAAAAATAATTTCTCATTGCTCAGATGGACAGTTGTTGAGATATTTGCATGTGAAATAAAAGGAAGTGATGTCAAAGGGGAATGTCTGCATGTGAATATTCATATTTGAGATGAATTTCAACAATCCTATTTACAATGTGTTAACATTTTAAGACTTCTGAAAGATTAATTTAAGACTTCTGAAAGATTAATTTAAGACATTTTAAGGCTAATTAAGGCCTTATTTTTGGATTGCTGAATTCAATGACTTTTAAGACTTTTTAAGGATCTGCACCCTGCAACTTGATTCCATTAAAAAATTAGCTTCTAAAGCCTCTAATTGATAACAATGACTTAATGATAGTGGTTATTTCCAAGACATGGAGGTTTTTCACTRTGAAAAAATCAAAACGTTGGAAGATTAAACCTTAAAACTGAACAGAATCTGTTACCCTAAGATTTTGATTTGATTGAATTTTAACTGTCTGTGTGTTGTACTTGCAAGCCAAGAATAAAAAAAGGCCTCTCTCAATTATAGTCAATTTAGTTTCTCATCAATCCAAAGAAAGGCAAAGCATGAATGAACAGAAAGGCAACCTGGTGAACTGACAGAGAAAACGGTCTGTATGCTGTAAATACACCGAGTGAGTTATTGCAAGCAGATGGACGTTTATTTCAGTAGAGGACTTCCTAAAATATGTCAGGATATTTACAGTGCACCAAGTTAGCCCACAGAGTTCTATAATATGGACAGGCATGGAGCAAAATATGCTTAAAACCACGAGTCCTTTATCCTTTTGAAATTTCTGCTTCAGAGCAAGACTCCGAAATTAAACTCATGCAAGCAGCTGTGCAACAGTTTAGGCCTGATTGTGAATGAAACCCAACGTTGCCAGTTCCACTTATTATGACTGACTTTGGGTTTGTTTGTTTTTTCTTTTTTCTCAAAAGTTAATAAAAATTGGCAGCTGCGGGTTGAGTTTATTGCACTACCGAGTTTCCAAATGTTAATTTTGATCATCCATGGTCAGTGTGTAAACATTTTGGCGGTACAATGCTGAGTGTTCCAACAACATGCTCCTAATTACAGTGTCAGGATGCTGATGCTTACCAGGTGTGTACCATGATCATGCTCTTAGTTAAGCTTTCTTTAGCAACCTGACTGCACACATTCTATGACAATTGTAGATTTCAGTCTCAATTTTCCAGCAAAATAACTGACAGAACAACAAAATACTTAAGAACTATTAAGCCACACAAATTATAATGRCCTATTTTACCATTCCTCTTAACATGATCCAAATGGAACAGATGGAAGTGAAAAAAACCTCAATGCAAAACAGCATATTCATTTTAGGTTAGCTCTGTTTTATAATTTAATGAAAAAGGAGGACAAGAAGCATATAAGTCTCACGAAATATAGGATTGTAAACCTGACAAAAAGTGAAATATAGGATTGCAAACCAGACGAAAGCTCCATGATTTATTTTACCTCCCAACTTACTTTTTAAACATTAAGTAACAACTTTGTTTTAAATGCCTAAAACTAAATAAAACAGGCATCAGCCTGGCAAACTATTTGCCTGATTCTTACAAAACTACTTCTTTGCATAAGCTATGTATGACTGATATCAATAGTATTATCAGCAGTGACAACTATTTGACAGAACTTCCATTCTAAAAAGTTCTACTATCCTAAATTAAAAGTTAAAGAATACAGTTTTTAAAGTTAATATTACCTTGTGTGACTGTGCAAAGAATAATGAGGTTGGAAAGAATCCAAATGTGAGAGTAAGGGTTTGGAGAAAGGGATAAATGTCTGAACGGTCCAGTAGCTTCGATGGTGGACACAGGCAAGTCCAGATTTTTGGATTGCAACACTGTTGATGGAGCAGAAAGCTTCAACAYTGCCTCTCCAATTCGCCGCAGAGTGAATGAAGGGGACACATGCTGTGAAAAAAAAAGACACTGAAATTTGCACTTAAATACACTGGAAAGGACACCTATGCTCTTTTATCTTTGTTAAAAAATAATAAACAAAATAAAAATCAGTAGCAAGGAGTCAGCAGTTGTCTTTGCCAAACTGTCAGAACTGATAAAACAATGAAATAAACCACAACTATAATCAAACACATCTGAATTTCTAAAGCAATGAAGATATAATTTTTTTAGACAAACTAGATTCCACTTTTCATCAACAAACTCGTTAATTCAAACTGGTGCACAAAGACCTCTTAACCTAAAGTCATCTTCCCTACACTAATCCTGCACCGTGGCCCAGTGAAGGTTTGTTTTCATCATTAAAATGAACACATGTTGCAGCAATAAGGGAGGCCAAATGATTCCAGTTCAACCTCAAGCATTTCAACGAGCAGATATGACGTAACTTGGAAAAACAAAGATGATGGGACCAAGCTTCCTGCAGTCAGATAATTAGTTGTGGCCTGGGGCTGTGGATAAAGACTGGAGCCTAATCCATGACGAACACTAAAAGGTTTAACAACGAGCACAATGTAAGCGTAACAATACAGAAACACACGAGTAACCCCACGCGTTGGAACTGGGCTATACTTATGAGTCAAAAAAATCAGGTACATGTTGAAAATGAAACAGCATTTCTATTAATCCATTTTAATTAGAGTTTTGTCACTTAAATGCTTCCATACTGGGCAACAGTGCGACGTCTTTACCATTTCCTCTTCCACTGTTGAAGTGCATTGTTTGTTATCTAGGGGTCTCATGGGCCTTGTGGTCACTTGGCAGAGCAATGAAGGACATCTTTATGAAAACCACAAAAAACAGGAAGAATCTGTTCCAATTTCTAAACTTTCTTCAACACACAACCAAGCAGGGAACTTCTATAAACAAAAACTTCCCGTAAGAACTCAAAACTGAACTGAAACTCCGTGTCTTTGGCTTACAACTTTTTATAGAGTGGGGAAACCCTGAAATTAGATTAATGAAAGTCTGTAGGATATTAGACAAAGCTATAGAAAGCTCAAAAGATGTAAAAAGGTCACTTTAAGATAACTTTACAGTGTAGATAGGTACCCAGATGTCATGTGCAATGGCTACTGTACATAGTACAAGATTCTGATCATTAAAATCCAGTTGTTTAGTTTTTGAAACACCTAATCTGCAACATTTAAGACAACTCAATGACCCAATGCAAGCATGCTCTATCACTGATGCAAAAATACTTAAGTTTTACCTGTTTCCTACTCTCAAAGTGTCTTAAAGTCCAATAAATGAAGCGCAGCAAGTTGAGTAGAAGGGTTGGCTCTGACAAAGGCGTATAACTGAGCTGGTCAGCTAATAACGGCAGCACCTAGAGACACAAAAACAAAAATATGGCAGAATATCAGTCACTGACTCATCAGCCGTACCTCTTCTTAAATCAGTGACAACTGCACTTAGATTTTAGAAAACCCAAAGATCAAAGTGAACACACCACCTTGAGACATTTTTCATTTAGCAGAATCTCCGGAGGCAAACCCTGGCCTAAAGGGTTCACTTCATTTCCTGCCACTGATGAAAACATCTGTCCGTCAAGTACCCATTCCAATAAAACCTCCAAGAGTTTTAACTGGATGGGAAATGGGCTTGCCTGAAAAAAAAAAAAAAAAAAAAAAAAAAAAAAAAAAAAAAAACAACAAAAAGAAAAAAAAACAAGTTTACTGTTTTGCCAAATTGGACCTATCCCAAGTTATGTAAAATACACAGAAGTCAAACAGAAAGATTTTAGATTTTACATATTTTAGAAACATTTCATTTGAGGGCTTTGAGTTTTCGTTTGTTTAAAATGTACTTACAGAATAAAGTGGTAAAGGTAAGCTTAGTATATTGATGTTTTAAAGCCCTAACCAGAGATTTACTGATCTGTTGTCAGTGTGGCTGTGCTCTGTAGAGAAATGTTGTACAATTCCCAGTTGAGATGTATAAATCAGTGTTAGCACTTCTCTAAACATGTTACATTAGCTTCTTTTTTTTCTTACAGTAAACACTTTAATTACAGGTTAATGCATCTACAATTTGAGCAAATCCTGAAATCCCACTGATTGGTGGTTCATTTAAATGGAAAAACAAAGTTGTTGCAGTACCTTGTTGGTGGATTTTCCAGATACAGCAGTTTTCTCCTTAATGTGAGGTTTAACACATTCTGTTCTGTTACCACTTCCATTCTGACAGCCTCTTATTGTTGTGCAATGCTCATATTTTCTCTAAAAACACAAGTTACAAAAGAAATGTGAATAACTGATGTGTATAATTATGAGAAAAAAAACAACAATGAATTAAATCGAACAATAAACTATGGTTAGAGACCATCACTGTGAGCTCAATGTTAACTTACATGTCCTTGTCTGACACTGTTGAAGTAAAATTTATTAATTTTCAGTGGATAAAACAAAGAATTAAGCATTTGATAAGTAATAAATAAGWTGTTACCTGCAGGTTCTCGAGACGAGCTTGCAACCTCTTGGACTGGATCTCCAGTTTCTGTTTTTGTTCACTGATCTCATTCAGCTGTTAAATGAAAAAGCAGTGGATGTCAATTTCACGCAAACCAGTGCTTTAAGATATCAATCACTTTGTTTCCATCTACATAATCTGTAAGCTTGGTTCTTTTAAAGCTGTAACAGCAGAGTTCAAAAGCCACAGAGTTCCCATTAGACTCATAAACCAAGAAAAGAAGTCTTACTTCATTCGCAGAAATTCATAATGGAAAAATTTGTGACCCTGTACATATATTTTTATTTCAGACTGAGCTTCGAAATGAACCAAATTTCAGCCCAGTGCATCTTTTACTTTGCTGGAAATTTCTCTACAAAAAAACTTGACGAATGACGTTTGACAATCCAAAATATTTTGCCTGCAATCTCCTGAGAATGTTTCCTTGACACTCAATCAGCGTGAAAGCAGCAGAGTTCAAACGCCACAGCTGAGGAATTYAGTGTCCTTGACGTTGGAAACGTTGAAGCCAAACACTTTTTGTGATTTGTTTCATAAGTATTTGCCATTATTGGTAAAATATAACAATTTCCATCGAAAATATTTTGTAATTTAGTGTGTAATGATGCATATATGGTGCCACAGGATTGTTTTATCAACCAAAAATGTTACATTGTTTCATCAGTGTGCATTGCCAATGCAATGCACACTATTGTGATTCATTTCCCATCCAAGTCATCTCCAATTTGGCATGCTTCTCC